CCGAACCGGGTTTGACTACGTGGGAGTCCAGCGACATAGCCATTACGCTAACTGCTGGTTCCCACTCCATGCTTATTCTGTGCCAGGAACTGTTCTAAATGCTTTGCATATATTACTTCATTTAATTCTTACAGCAGCCCTCACCACTTTCCTACCAAGTCAATATATTTCCACCTAGAGCTGGGATGCTGAGCAGATTGCATTAACCACCCACCCACCCACTCACTCCCTTCACAATGCAGATTGCCTCTTACTGAGTGGAGAGAATGGATGTGTGATGATAGATGAAAAAGAGGTAAGCCGTAAATTCGTGATTGTATGGATGGACTAACTGAAGGATGCCTGACTATATTTAGATGTACCTGCTGAGATGTGTATACCCCTTCTACTAGCTGTTAGAGGCAGCAGCCATGGACTCTGAAGCACTAGATGACACTGGACAAATTACTCCTGCCACCTGAGCTGCAGTGTCTTCATCTAAGGCATAGGAATAGTAGTTCCTACACGGAGACAAGAGATGCCAGGTTAGGCCTTTTGTGAACATTGATATCTCACCCTCATGTCTCTGGCCACAGAAACAGGCCTCAGTGGCTGCAGAAAACAGCGTGATCTGCAGCTTCCTGCATTACATGGAGAAGGGTGGGAAAGGATGGCACAAGGCATGGTTCGTGGTTCCCGAGAATGAACCCTTGGTGCTGTACATCTATGGAGCCCCTCAGGTATGTAACCTACTCCTTCAAGTTCTTTCAAGCCATATGGCAAAGCCAGGCTGCCACTTTTTACCCAAGACCTTGAACCCTCACCTTGAGGGATAGGATGGGCCTAGCCACTACAGCCTAAGGTGAAATAAGAACTTCACCCATAGCTAAAGACAAGGAGTGACTGTGGGCCAAGGTATGTGAGTTACATGGGGCAAGGGCTGTCTTCGTTGAGGAAGCAGGAGTGGGGAACAGGTCAGTGCTAGGTTCAATTTGGAGTGGGAGAGGGCATGCAGTTAGGGGCAATGGCCTAGCCAAAGGCCTTGAAATATTACTTAGCATGATGAAGGGACTAGCCCAGCTGGTTCAGAGCATTGGAGACCAGGAGTTGAAGCAGTCTCTATTCTAGCCCCAGCTCAGACATTTTCCTGGTGATAACAGGAGAGCCATGTAAGGTTCTTCAGCAGAGGAAAGAAAAGAGGAACAGATGCAAAACTAGTCAGAAGCTAGGACAGAGGAGAAGGTCCAGCTCCAAGGTGACCCCAGCCCTGTTCCTCCTTCCTAGGATGTGAAAGCTCAGCGCAGCCTGCCCCTCATTGGCTTTGAAGTGGGGCCTCCAGAGGCAGGGGAGCGGCCTGACAGACGGCATGTCTTCAAGATCACCCAGAGCCACCTAAGTTGGTATTTCAGCCCTGAGACAGAGGAGCTACAGCAGGGATGGATGGCTGTGCTGGGCCGGGCAGGTCGTGGGGACACATTCTGTACAGGGCCCACACTGTCTGAGGACAGGGAGATGGAGGAGACACCAGTGGCAGCCTCAGGAGCCACTGCTGACCCCCCTGAAGCTCCCCAGACCCAAGACTAGACCTAGAGGGTTTGGGGAGAACTAGGAGCCCCCACCCCACACTCTAGCTCCCTATGTCCAATTTGGGGCTCTAGCCCTCTTCCTCCCAGCTCAGTCAATACTTGAACTCCCATCATGGGCACTTTCAATCCTGAATGCTGGGTCTTAGGTTTTTTAATTCATCTTTTCACAAACTGTGGGGTTTTAAAAGAAATATTCCTACAGTGATATTAACTTTTTTTTTTAATCCCTGTCCCCAGGGAGAGTGGGAGCTGTTGCTAGACCCACCTGAATTAGGCTGTTTTCCCCTATCCCTCAACATCCTACAGATCCTATCTCCACCTGATTCCCCCAAAAGCACCAGAGGCAGAAAACCTGGATTCAAGTGCCAGCTCTGCCCCGACTCTGGGGCCCTGACCCACCCTTGCCTCCTCAGCCAATGTCTTCATATCAATGACTCCACATGGAGTGGTGTTCAGACCATCCTGCCTCTCCCCCATGGCATACAGTTTCTACCTGGTCCCAAGGCTACCCAGTATTTTATTGTCCAGACCCATGGCAGGGCCAATGGGCAGGACAGGGAAATGGGTGGAAGGGAAAGGACAATGGATACTCTTTGTTTTTCTTAAAGGAAAATACAGTTTATTTCAAGCTTACAATAACTTTCAGAGCACTGCTGTACTCCATTTGTCCAAAGTACCAGGCTGCTAAGGGCAGGCCCAGAAACTACTCCCTCACTGAACTCGGAAGCTCCCAGAAGTTAGATTCCAAGGCTATTCACTAATCAAGCCACAGATTAAACAATAAGATATTATGTATTAAGATCTTAAGCCTCATCCCTGGACTTAAATGGGATGGTATGATAAGTGAAGGAGGCGGCTAGAGGAAACAGAAAGCAAAACCTGAGCTAACCTTCTAGCCAAGGTCTTAGGATTCCCAAGGGAACCAAGGGCTGGCAGCTGGGTTACAGAAAGGGAGCAATCCTGGGAGGTTCCAAGTTCTGTAGAGGGGTAAAGTGCTGCTCTCTGTGTACATGAATGGTGGGATGGGGTAAGCAAGAGGATCCATAGCTCTTTTCATCCACATCTTTGACAAATCTCTTCCATTTGCCTGTTCATCTCACCATTCCTAAACCAGCCAGCCCCCAAGTGCTGACTAGAGGTTCTCCTGCCAGTCCTCTACCTTCACAACTCCACCTGCCCACCTTCAACCAGCATCTAGTTACTCCTCCAGTTATACCCACTCATGGACTATGCACAAGAAGCACCATGCTAGGAAACAGTCTCACCACTGAGGTGATAAATTAAGGCTGGAGGGAATGTGCAAGACAAGATCCTGACACCTCCAGGACCAAGTACCCAAGGGCTTTTCTTCCCCGGAGGAAGTTAAAGAGGACAATGGGAATGGGGTAACCAGTCTAGAAGGCTACAACCCTCCAAAAAAGCTCTTACAAACAAGTCTCAAAACAACTACCAAACAAGGACCCAAACCATTTCCAGAACCACTCATTTCTTTCTCCGGACAATGGTCCAATCATCTTCTACTATATCCTCTTCCTTAATAGTCTGGGTGTCTGGATCAGAGGGTTCAGGCTGGAGGCAAACTCCATCTGTAGTGGCCCCATCATTCGTAGCTGTAAGCTAGAGGGGAAATACAAGAGAGAGCTAAATACATCAACCATTGGAGACCTAGGCTTTTTCAGGATTGACTGTGTTAACTTCAGAAAGTTCCCTGCCCTCTCTGGATAATATGAGCACCAACAACAACCCCCATATCATTTCCTTGTGAATCTAGATGCTCTACCAAAAAAACTGAAAATATCTATACCCCCCAACACCCTTATAAGGACCCTTTTACCTCCATCTCTTCCACACTGTCCATATCATCTTCATCCTCATCAGTCTCTTTGGTTGTCTTAAGCGTGGTGGCTGTGACCCTACACTTTCTTTGGGTGATGTGGGAGGCCATCTCCCTGAGAGCAGACCCATCACCCCTCTGGAAGTGGTGGAACATGGTCTGCAGCTGCTGGCTCACCTATCAAAAAACATTCAAACAACTTGAATTTTTCAGAAAATCTACTATACAACCAGCCTGTGTTTACAGCAAGGGTAGGGAAGGATTTCAGAAGATAATGGGCTCTTTCCTACCCAAGGAGTTCACCAATGAAGCAATCATATATGAAGAGCTCAGGTGAGGGCCTGAAGCATGGAGGGAGGGCTTCCTAGCAAAAAAGACACTAGAACTTAGCTTTGAAAGACAGAAGATGTAAAGAGGCAGCAAGGTTAACCAGAACAGGGTAGAAATGCATTTGTCCTGACCTGTCCTTGGGATGGAGGTAAAGAACAGGCCTGGCTGGGAATGATGTGTAAGAGAAGTAAAACAAGAGGCAAGATTTGAAAAGTTCTGGAGAGCCAGCTGGTGGCATGGTGGTTAAGGCCACTAGATGCCACATGGTCGACTGGTTCAAGTTCTGGTGGGTTGAAAAACACAATTGGATTTAAAAAAAAAAAAAGAAAGAAAGAAAAAGAAAAGAAAAACATCATGTGCACATGTCCCAAATCCCAAAACGATAAATGGAGAACAAGGGAGGGCCAGCAGATGGCAGAGCAGTTGTGTCACTGGATTCCCACGTGGCCAAAAGCAGTTTGAGTCCTAGACCTGAAAATCACACCAGGCACACATGTGTGCGTATGTGCCCAAGATCCCGAGAGGAGAATAGAGAAGATGAGACTGCAGCATGGCCATCCGCTGGGGGGTGATTTCTCACTTTCCCTCTTACTGGCTCTCTCTGGCGAGCATGGACACCCTAAAGCAAAACCCTCTCGTAAAAAATGTGAAAAAAAGAGGGACCAGCAGTTGGCATAATGATTATATCGCTGGACTCCCATGGAGTCGATCACAGTTCAAGTCCTGGACCCAGCAGCTTAAAACTCATGCCAGGCACATGTGCATGTGTGCCCAAAATCCTGAAAGGAGAATGGAGGGGAAGGGACTGCAGTGTGACCATTCCCCCAGGGGGTGATTTCTCACTTTTTGTCTCTCTGGCAAGTGCACATGCCCTATAGCAGAAATCTCTCTTAAAAGGTTTGGAAAGACTAAACTTTTTCCTCTAGGCAACAGGAAATCAAAATGTTCTTGTGCAAGACCCAAGAGAAGAACTGTTAGAGCCAAGAGTCTTGGCCTGAGACAGCTGGGAAGAAGAAAACCTGTAGAGAAGGAGATGGCTGTTGTGACCATAATAAGCTCACCTGGGGCAGACTCCCATCCTCCACCACAGTATCAAACTCATTGGTCATCAGCTCCCCGAGGAAGTCCTCCACCTCATCTAGCTCCAAGTCAGCTGAGTAAGAAAGGATATGATCCTTTGGTCAAAAAACAGTTAATGTCACCACCCTTGCACCCTAACTTCAATACCTACTTGGTGTATTTACATCTGGTCAGGTCTAAACATTGAGCCTTTTATTTGCTAAAATGCTTTGCATTCCAGATTTTAATTTAACATGATTTTAATTTTTTTTTTAGGTTTCTGCCAAAGGGCGCATGAGCTAGCTAGAGACAGAGAGAACAGGGAAGAGAGAAACCACTCTCCAGGGGGATGGCTATGCCACAGTCCTTTCTCCTCCATTCTCCTTTTAGAATTTTGGATATGTACATGCACCCAGCATGATTTAAACCACTGGGTCCAGGACTTGAACCATGATCAGCAATGTGAGAATCCAGCACCTTTACCAGTACACCACCTGCTGGCCCTTTAACATTTTTTTTAAAATCACTAAATATCAATAGCTATAGTCTATCTCTTACAACCTACCAAGTCATCTACTCCTGTAGCTACCAGCCCCACAACTGCCTTCTTTCTTCTGGCCTTGTCTGACTTTTCCTTTATGCGACTTGAAACAAGCTACTTACTCCTCTGAGCCTCGATTTTCATATCTATAAAGTAGAGCTAACAATGGCCTCCTTGAGGTCCAACACAAAGGAGATCTATGATGCATGTTGATTTCCATCACTCAAGGGCTTAAGTTTTTCAAATATTGAGATCCTTCATGACCGTGGCTCCCAATATAGAAGAAATCCAATTACATATGGAATATGTAAGAAGAAACAGATATATTATTTCCAAAGATGAAATTATCATAGTCTTGACACCACCATCCTATTGACTTTGGCTGAGCCCTCCTCACTGGCCTTCAGTTACCTTAAGGGCCTATGCTCTACTCTTTCTAAACCAGAGAGTATTTCAAGAAAGTCTTTCACAAAGTTCCTTGCCTTCTCTTCCATTTATATGGTCTCTCTGAAAGAGTTCATCCACCTCTTGGCT